GAAACGTACAAATGATTTTCATACTTATGAAATTAATTACTGAGATTAATGTCGATCGATATTTTGATTATCACGTAATACAACATTATTTCTCTCTCGTGAATACATGTATTCGTGTTATTTTATTCGACTTTTTTGTAAGAAGAAGGTATTACGACATAATATAGGGTTAAACAATAACAGCAATTGTTCGTTGCAGTGCATTAATAATATGCACGATTTAAGTGCACAGCACACTGTGAATAATAATTTTCATACTTATCATTAATTTCGTTCGTTATTGAGATTGATGTTGATCGATGTAGTATACCTAGGAACCTTAATTTTGACTACATCGTGTAATATTACTTCCTCCTCGTGAATATTCATCCTCCTATAATTAATATCCATCCGCGATTAATCACATTAATGCTAATCAAAGATTTTTCAGTGGTGATTTAATTACCCGAATCGCTGATCGGCACTCTTTACGGATAGTACGTGGATGCGATGGATCTTTCGTACACAGAGAGTTCCTCGTGATAAATGACTGCGAACCTATCAAATATCAATATGCGTGCATTGTTAATGTATCCGCATTACCATAGCCAATCGTGCAAACCGGATTAACCGTAACAACGCCGTTACCAGCGTGTCGACTTTATCCGATATTGAAAACCGCGCCGTGTTTCAAATCGCGCCCCCCTCCCAAAAACAATCGATCCCCGTTAACGTTCAATTCCTTCGGATTCCTTTAACAACGGGGTGTAAATGTGTCGACCAACGAGCTGTTATTAATTACGCGTTATTAACGGGCAGGACACTGAACGTGGCACAAAAGCGCTGCAAGGGACACGATCACAAGAGCGCCATGTGCGGTCTTAAATATGGCACGTCCTGTGCGGAAAGCTTATAAAGTGACATATGCGCGCGATATATACGCGTTTCCCCCCCTAGAGTTCCCGGGGTGCTACTGGATGCGTTAATGCAAGATAATGCTCCATCATTTCGTTCCATTTCATTTCTATTTATCCCTGAAGGTTCAGGTGGAACTTTCTCTCCCCATCGAGAGAAGAACGCGCATAAAAGGGGGACACGCACGCTCCTCGACTCGAGCAACTCCCATCCCTTCCTTCTTACCCTGTTAATTCAATTACCGCTTAGGTTAGCGCACGGAGGAACACAAAATTAGTCGCGAGTCGAGGTAATTCACGGCTAAGTGCGAGACCGCGGCCGATAGGAAAAGTCTGAGAACGTTGGAGCTGCCTCGAGAGGCCGTGTTATCTCCGTTTCGAAAATCACATTAGAAGAGGTCGTTATCTAGCCACCGTGTACGACTAACACGTGCCGTATTTATTACCGGACTGAGCGTGAATTGTACCATCACTCGTGTCGAATCGCTCAGTAATATTTGATCCAAACGATTTTATACGCGATTCACGTTCAATCCGCGTGCGAAATCCTTCGAATATTTATCTATTAACACATTGCGTACCGCACTCGGCGCGCCCAACCTGCTCCCAGGGTCCGCACATTTTTGGAGCAACTTAGAGAAACTTTGTACAACGCACATATGCACTTCTTTAATTCACATTGATAAAATATTCTTAAATATTATATATTATATTATATATATTATTATATATTTTTTATAGTAATATTCAAGAATCTATTTATTATGTATTTCAGATTTCAACTATTATTTATTTTATATTTATATTAACACATTGAGGTCGGTATACTCTGATAAACATATAGTCTGTACTTTCTCGTACTTTTTGAATTATTTAATATATGCTTGAGAAGGTTCAAGAGAATGTATAGCATTTAACAACTGTATGATTTTATTAACAATTAAAATTATTAATTATCTTTCATTTCAGAGGTACTTTATTAAATAAAATAAAATGAAAACCAGTAACGTTTCTTAGTGTAGTATGTTAGGAAACAATTTCCCTACTTCTTGAAAAAATTATATAACATTATAATATATAATTATATATTATATATAACGTTGCCTAATCGTGTCCCCAGTCTGCAACGTTGAAACACGAGAATTCTCGTCTCTCGTCCGCAACAGTTGAAAACTGAAAGACGCGAATTCGCGTCTGCCGTTCACAATGTGTTAACTATCGCGTTAAAGTGGGAGAAAGTGGGCGTGGAAAAAACGTTTGTTAAGGCTGATGTCGCGCGTCCCTTGAAAAAAAAGAACGAGTCGGGTGAAAAATTAGAGGGATTCGACGAGAACAGACGGCCTGGCGTGTTCGACGCGATAATTACCTTTCTTCGAACGACAAGGAGAGACCGAAGAGAGGCACGAGTGTGTCCTCGGACTCTCCGAGCGAAATCCTCCCGAGGTGCCGATAACACGTTGATGAGGCAATTAATATTGATGTAACAGGAGGCGAATCCCCCGCTATTGTTACCCGAATACCGAACACCGTCCAGATTAATATTTAATTTGCACGATCACGGAGTTTCCGAGTGCCCGAGGGGGGCTGATGGTTGTTCGTGCTCGTCGAATTTTTGACGATCGTGCCGCGGAATTCTCAATACGGGGCATGGTCGAATATTCAACGAGCTCGTAATAAACTTCTTGAAGCTTTGCCGGCGCGCGACGACACAGTAATTATTATGCAGTGTATTAAGAAACAAGCTCCTCTTTCTCTCTCTCTCTCACTCACTCTCCTATCCTCGGCCATTCTATTATTCTCTCCGGCTTGCGAGAGAAACGAAGCACAGCGATACGAAAACGCAATCGTAAGCCTCGAATAACTCGGGCCACTCGAGATAGTTTGCATGCCTTCTCGCAATCTCGGATCACTTGGTAGAAACTATCATGCCTTCTTACACTACTTGGTACTTATCGTTTTTATCACCGTTGTCACGAATACCGCGAAAGGGGGAGGGAGAAAAAGAAGATCGAGGGATCGCGAAATACTCGAGTAATCCCTTGTATGATAATTATTAACGAGCACGAACGACAGAGGCAGATGTGAATGATAACGGTGAAAGAAAACGGTGGAGAGGCATGACGATTTCTTTTTTTAAAGAAATTCGCGACAAAAAGCTCGAGCACGGTGTTTAATTGTGATTTATAATCGTTTAGTTTTGCCAAATGATCGCTACGCGAATACGAAATACAAAGGGAAATGGAAAGTTTTAAATGTGTAATTTGCTCGTTACGTGTGTGTTCGACTGTTTGATCGAATGAGGTTAATGAAAAATATTTATAACTGAAGATGATGATTCGCGTTTGAGGTGATTATCTCAAATGATTTAAAAATTTTAGTCGACATAACGATATTTCAGTTGGACATTAACTGGACATTAACAGCCGACGTAATGAATCACGCTTATTTTTACGATTAATATAATTCCAATTCACTGAAACTAATAGCAATAAAGTTACCTCGTATTTCAATGACGTTTCATTACACTGTGATTTAGCATCCCATTTCACTCGTATAGAGATGTAGCAAGTTTATGATAAAATGATCAAATGTTGTTATGATAGAAAATTGAATTGTAAGGAAAAATCACATATGTTTAATCAGGGAGGAAATTTGAAACATTGTTTAAATATATAACTACCTTATAGTACTATACTATAGTATATTTAATTTTATCTTTTTTTATATTATATTTTTTATTTATAATATTCACGCTAATAAGAACCTACTTGTACTCTTTTTTAATTTGAGATATTTTTCAATTTTAGAAAAATATAAATGAGTCAAAAATGACCGGAAGAATGTTGGAGAATTAATTGTCTCGATAGAAAGTAAATTGATTCTGATGATGACTAACACACGTGTAATGTATAATATGTATACGTGTAATTGTATTGTATAAATACATAAACATATACACACATATAAATATATATATATATATATATATATAATGTTTATAATTATATATATTATTTAGTCACACATTATGTCGTCATAAAATTAATCAATGATCCAAACGAAAATAAAAGAAATATTCTCAAATACTTCACTGTAAAAGCGTAACAACACTTGTATAACAAATTTGAACGATCAGTTGTGTCCAACATTAATATATTCCTATCGAAGCGTAGATTTCAAACGGCCGCGAAAATAACAGCATCTCGAAAAAGGCGTAAGTATTTTTTACGCGAAACGAAAACACGATAAAGGCGTGGATGTTTGCACGAGTAGCGGCGAAATCCATTTGAGCCCGCTATTTCTTTTCGTCGAACGTCGAGCTCGTGAAAAGTTAACCGATTAAGAACTGCGTTGAATTCCGTCAGTTAGCGAAGTCAAACAGAGTGGTATTTCGATGATCGATGAATCGTCTTAGATTTCTCGAGCACGTTCTCTCCGCTGCCGCGGCAGCTGAGTTTGACACTTTCGATCCGTCTTTATCCGCGATTCTATCCCCCTCGTTGCGATTGACAGTTCGATCGTGCCAAAAAGACGATTCACCTTCAATCGTCGCGCGCGCGACTTTAATCTTTCATCCGCGTACATACGTGATTCAATGCCGGCACAAAGCAGGCCTCTCGCCTGCGGAGTCGTAATAATCTAAACGCGCTAGGCGTGCACGTTTCGATTCGTCGTGGCTCTCGTTGCTCCGAACGCGCGGAAAAAAGAGAAACAACGAGAGAACGACGCGAGCAAGGAGAACGGAACGTGACGAAGACGAGGAGAAAGCGCGCGCGCTGATCGGACCGAGATGGAGAAAGATAGAGAACGCGGTCGGATCGGAGCAAAAGAATCTGAAGAAGAAGAAGAAGAAGAAGAAAAAGAAGAAGAAGAAGAAAAGGATCAAGAGACCACAATAGACGATCCTTTCTCTCTCTTTCTCTTCCGATACTCCATTTCGACCCTGCCAGCATTGGAGCCTGTATCCTCGCCTCCGGCTGTGACACGATCTTCAACCTTTCAAGATCGAAACAGAAGGAAACGGGTGACGAGACACAGATTCGAAAGAGTGACAATCGCCTGGCACCGTAAGTGAAACCAACGAGAAGATAAGCTGTGCAAACTTACTCTTGCGAGCGGCATGGTCACGTCGATTTTTCTTCTGTCCGCGGGTGTATCCTTTACGAGCGGGTCACTAACTAGCCTGTACACATCACCCATGATTCGCGCGACGAACGCGAGTAAACAAACGAAAATAACTTTCCTTTTACTTTTACTTTTCCCTCTCTCGCTTCCAGACCACTTGATATTTATTTTCTTTCTCTTTCCTTCTTTTTTTCACCACCGAACACACTGCTCAGACGGCGGACAATAGACGACAAAAATCCACGCGCAACGTAGTCAAGGTAAATGTTGCAACGAACACCTCGGGGATCATCGCGTCATACCGCGATTTGTCAAATCGTCGTGCGATCGCGAACGATCATGTGGGCTCATTTCTCGAATCGTTGCCGGTTCTGCTGTTGTCCTCTCTCCGCTCTCCGCCGACGATTTCCCACCGCATGTGTCGAGTTTGAAACGCGTACGAACGATCACTCCGAGAGAGATCGTGGGGTCGATCCGCGGACACGAACCGCACACGTTGGCCGTCGCCGTTTCTCACGCGATACCACTACGAAGGCGTGCGAACGTTTCACAATTCGAAACTGATCGAGATGACAACCACCCCGTCCAGGCACACAGGGCAAACTGTCGTCTGGTCGGCGCTCAGCGGCCCGCAGCGACGTACCGTGAACGACGAAAAGCGAAACTCGATGGCGCCACGGCTGTACGGAGTCTGTGCCGTGAGTGCGCTTAGGCACGACGCTAGCGCTGCCGCCGACCGATCTTCGCGTTACGTCCTCGCTACACATTCGAATCTTACCAACCAACACGATCGCGGCGAGTTGTTCGCGCGGTGGTGTGCGCGCACACGGAAGCACTCGACTTACCACCACGATCGCATCGCGCGGCGGTGTCTGCACGTACACGCGGAACTCGCGAAGTGGCGTTGGACAAGTGTGGTTGTGGTTGAGGTGTAGAGGTTCCGGAGGCGGCGGGGGGGGGTCGGGGTCGGGGTTGGGAGGTGGAGGTGGAGGTGGAGGAGGTTGAGTTGGTAGTTACCCCCACGAAGAGTGTTCCAGGGCCGGCGCAACCGCAATTCGTCGATTGCAACGACTGATTGCGAGCGCGATTTAACGGAAGTCGAGCGAGCTGTCTACTTTTAAAACGCGGCTGATACGACGGAGTTATGTATAGCCGCTGCCTAAATTGCTTTGTCCCGACGATTTACATTCTTTTCATGTAAATGAGTTTGCCGGATTCGCTCGGTGTGTGGAGATCGCGTCTACGCGCGAGCGTGTTGTAACGCGCCACGTTAAACGAGGCTCTCTTCTTTTTTCTTTTCTATTTCGATCGAAATTACTCGACGACGAATAAACCGAGTTGCTGGTCTTCATTAACCTCTTGCGCTGAGATGACGTGCCACGCATTTGATAATTTTATTATTTCGATAAGTTTATTATTTCTTCCAGTGACGTACCGACGAGTTATTGTATACGGTTCGGTCACTCGTTATGGTCCGCGAACCAGAAGTAAACGAAAGTTGTTTTTATGTGAAAATTCGCGCAATAAGGCAACCCTGACGACTAAAAGCATCAGTCGCATCTTTTCTCCTCGACGTGGCATACGCAGGGAGTTAATTAGTAGTGACACGTAAGCGATGACTGTAATCAGAATAAAACGGAGGAAGAGGATCGAACGTGACGTCGGTTCGGCAGCCCGCGCCAGTAACAAACGAAAAGGCCGTAACGCTGTCCGATCCGTGGCTCATCAAAATTCAAAGCAGCCTCGTTACAACTTGCGAAATTACGAATGCACCTTTGTCCTACAAAAGTTGCAAAATCACCCCCGGAGTTAGGCACCGTAGGCGAGAGCGGACGCCGCACGCTCCTCGCTACGACTGTCGCCGCGATTAGTAACTAACAACATTCCCGTTTATGCATTAATAGCACGTGCACGTAAAGAGAAAGGGCATCGAGATAACAGCGAGAGAACGGAGGCGAGCAAGAGACGGACGAGATTACAATCCGGGAGGTAAAACGAGGAGCAAAGTAGTAACGTCGTCGCCGCTAAGTAACGATTACGCGGGGATGGATTTTTAAATCCGAGTTTACACCGTTTCGCGATATCAGACGCGAAACTGGAAGAAATACTGGGCTCAGATTTATGACATCATGTGACCCAGGCAGTTATGGCCGAGGAGAGCTGTAAAATACTATGGTTATTTGTGGAAGCGTGCACTTCTGCGCAATTTTTGCCTTCAGCTCTCCCTCTCTTCTCTCTCTCTCTCTCTCTCTCTGTATACGATTCTTTTTCACGAAACCCTCAAAGGCGAAGGGGCTATACGTCTGCCGACGATAGCATGGGATCGGTTCTGCCGGCAACTCTCGACCGCTTCTCCGCCCTCCAGCGTATCTCGGCCCCTTTCCTCTTTCGTCTTAACCCTCTGGCCAGGCAGCACACCATCGCCGTTCCTCCTCACGCTAGAGCCCCTAGTCATCCAACACCGGGCTGGGCTGTGCTGCTATCCAAGGCCAACCACGCTTGCCTAGCTAAGTCGCCAAAAGCTTGGACTCCCCGTGGAATTCAGCTTCCGTCATGCCAGAGGCCGGCGTATTGCGTGGCATCCCCCCGGTGTCGGCGATGCACTTCGATCCGCTGGGATCGAGCCTCGTAAAATTGGATTTGCGCAGACAGTATGGTACTTGGACGTATTGCGTACCCTTTAGCAAAGAACCGGCTACGACCTACCCACTCATTACCGGATCATTCTATCGTCACGGTTGCCTCCCACGGTGACGCAATTCTCTGCCTGGTTGCCGCTTTTCAATTTTCGATGCGATTAAACGATGTTTCATTCAGGAGAACGTTTATTATGAATTACTGTAGTTTGCAGTGGCTGTGTAAGGTTGTTGAATTATTTGGATCAATGTTCTCGTATGTTTCTGTTACTGGTATCTAAAGTGGCATGTCTAACGTTTTTGTTTTTGCAATTCAAGAGAAAAATATCGATTTTTCTGGTGCAAATTGTTTTTTATATCAACCGAGTTTTGGCTGCAGCAAAGCACGATCGTGGCTATGTTTTTTATTCCTTTGAAAAAAATAAATCGTTTGTCTATGAAGAAATAACGTAAGAATCGAGATAGAAAACGGCGATGGAATTTCGTTGGATCGAAAAATTGAAAACATGACTGAGAATTTTTAAAATTTTTAATCACGAAGGCGTGATTTAGATAATCAAATACTTATTCAGATTCAAATACGTTCATTTATGGGAAGATATTATCTGAAATAATGCGTGTAAAATTCAAATCACATTATACCAGCACATACATGGCTTTGAAACTTCATTATAAATAAATAATATAATTAAGTTCATTACACATAAAGTACAATTTTCTACAGTAAATATGAGCGAAATATGCAAGATAAGAAAAATTAATACCAATTATTACCCGTATTTCTTTTCGTATAAATTTCTCATAAATATACTTTATACGCAATAAAAGCATCGTAAATAGATTGCGTGTTTTGAAATATTTGCACTATTTTTATCCTTAATTATAATGTGAATATATTTAAATTCTAAATGTAACTGAGCTTTTTAAGACTTCTCAAATCGTTAAATAAATCATTGTTATAATTATCATAATTAAACGAATCAGATGTCATAAATTATATCTGCTTGATAAGTGCGTCAAAATTTATTTTATTAAAACGATTCGTTCAAATAAAATAACGTTCCCGGCGTTTAGCCGGAATTTTATTATTACGAAATAAAGTTGACACACACATTTTCCCAGCTCTTGTACCTCAATATCACTCCCTTGCCTGTGATTAGAAACGTTATGAAAAAAAGAAATATTCTAGTCGTGCGACACGTAGTCGTACATACGTTTTTTCCCCGGCATGAGCCACGGCGTATATGTGTCGTAGGTGTATCGCGGCGGTTTAATGAAAACGTACGGCATGTTTTAATTAAAATTGTCCTCGCTCCCGAAAACAGCGTAGACACAGATGAGATAGTTCTGATTAGCGATCTGCAGCAAACAAGGCGGAGGCAATATCCTCTCGATCTCTAGCCTCTTCGTGTTTATACACGCGTCTTTAATTTCGGCTCCTCCGCGTTATTCGTTATTGCGGCAGAGAGTTTCAGTGTTACTTTCTGTTTACCGTGACTTGCAAGAGGCGAGGCCGGTGTCCAATCGATTCGCCACCGTGGAAAAAGCCCACGCTTCTCACTCTTTCTCTCTTTCATTCTTCCTCTGTATGTGCACGCGCCTGGATTTCGTACAACGCGTTAAATCTGCGCCTGGCTGCACAAAAGTACGCGGTCGCTTTGAACGCCCTGGCATTTTCCGCTTTATATCGTCGTCTTAAATCGGGCAGAAATCATTTCGTCGCGACGAAACGGAGATCCTGCGGAAGCGAATTACGGCGTATTTCAACATTCCGCGGCCGTGCGACGATTCTTTCTAAGAGTGGACGGGCAGCGAGAATTTTTCACCACTTCGTCGAACTGTGCAACGCGGAGAGATATCTGCCGACCTGCGCGGCGGAAATTCTAAACTAGCGCTTGACAATGATATATGAACGATCTCCCATCTAGAATTGGTAACAATTGTGACGCGTTGAAGATTGAAATTGATCGAACGAGACTTATCCTACGTATCAAATGCAGTTTCGCGAGGCACTTTAATCAGGCCCGTTTCCTCCCTTTTTTTCTTCTTCTATTCGCCATCGGTTGTCCTTTCTATTTTCCTGCTGCCCGATCCAATTCGCGGTTGGGGAAAGAGGCGAGGAAGCGGAATCCACGCTGGCGCAAAGGAGAAATGGAAAAACAATTACGCCATCAACGACTGAATAGCGAGTTCAGTTCCCAGTCAATTTTGCGGAAGCCTCGGACAATAAGCAATGTAGATAATAGCTTAGCGGTACCTTATCTCGCGCAAGCCTCCCCTGGTCCGAGAAGCGGAACGTTCGTTGGGATGATAGAAAGTATTTCGCGTGGCGGGGCGGATGGAAAACTTGCAGAGGGAGAGAGAAGTTTTTGCGATACCGCGAAGAACCGTATCAGATTTCCTGAAGCTAGGCGAGAGAGGTTCCCATCGCGACTCGAGTTCAATCCGCCCCCGCCCCCCTCCCAACCCCCTTTTTCCAATCCTCCTTTCCTGCTCCGCCGCGCCTTTAAAGCCCAGTTATACTTCGTACTTAGTTTTCGCGGCAAGCGAAACTTACCTAACAGATACGAGTCGTTGGCCACGACGATATGGAATCCGAGGGGTGAGCAAGTCGTCGTTCCGCCCTTCCTCGGTGATGGACAAATCGTTCCAAGGACAGAAATTGAATGTCGAACTAGTTTCTAACTACTTCGAGGTGGAATAGTTTCGCTAAGTTGACTTCCGTGAGATCGCGCACCACGTGTTTTTCTTTTCTTTTTTTTTTTCTTTTTTTTTTTTGTTCTTACCCTCGCGGCCTCCGCGAGCGCGATTCGTTTCCGGAATCGTCGACCGGAAACTTTGCGAATACTACTAATTCGACGGAGAAAACTAAGGGGGATTTCTCGCAAACGAATTCGTACCGCGAGTGGGATCATTTTTCGACCGATTTTGGCAGAGGTGTAGCAGGGGGTCGAACGTGAAATTGAATTCAGACACGGTTAAACCGGAGAATTCTGTTCCTAGTGTTGGTTTTCGTTTGCGTTTGGGAAAGAAGAAATAGAGGAAGTGGAGAAAAAGAAAAAAAAAACTTTTAA